GTATCCTCAGGTTGATTGGTTTTATCAACCGTATTTATTGCTAGCTTTGTTTCGGTTTCGTTTTTGATTTCATGCAAATGTTTGCAAATTTCTCAAATTAACGCGTAGGCGAGCCAAATCAAGCCGAAAGCGCTGGAAGTGTCGCCGTCTCCACCAGCACCACCAGCTCCACAACCACTGCTGCTGCCGCCTCATCTAACGACGCCCCCACCAGACAGACGCCGCTCTTCGTTCAGCAAGTTCATTGAACCACCTACGAGAAATATGCAAATCGCAGCTTTGGATGCAGGAAAGCGAACAAAAATCACAGCCAGCGTAAACATATAGCAAACTAATTTAAATTCGATCTTGTGGCCTTTGTGTCGAGGGGACGCGTGATACTTGTAAAATCTAATACAATGGAAAGAAAACAATTTTTATTTTTATTTCTTGTGGATTTCTTAGCACTCTTAATTTCAGTTGCAATCCCATTAAAATGGAATTGATGGATGTCGCCAGCTATGGAATTTTTTTTTACAAAGACAGCCCGAAAGATTAATGAGTCTTACGCTTCCTCACGCGCCGATATTTGAGGCTTCGAGATACTGGATATAACTCTAACGTGTATGTATATCGGCCATCGACTGCGTTTTCTTAATTAATAGCTCAAAAAGATTTTATTGCCGCTGCTCCGGCGTCGAGCAACAGATCTTTGTCAAATCAATATTTATAAATAATTTATAAATTAAGAGGCAACCTCCAAGCCCCGAAAGCGAACCTGCGGCTAATTAAAATGATGAATGCGAAGCGTTTCAGTTTGAAAATTAATTAAGCAAATTATCCATTTAAATAAACATAGAATGTTGCTGCCGCTGCCTGCTCGATGGCTTTGCGCTGATAAAGCCCCAGAAGAGGAACCCCACAGATGGAGACTCTTTGATCGTGGATGTTGGATGTTGGATGGGTTCGCGGCTGCCAATTAGGGGAAGTCGCCATCGATGACAGCAAACGCATTTTTAATTGCAATTAATTAGCGCTGTCAGCTTTTCCCCATTGTTTGCTGTTTGGGTGACAAACAATTTGCCAAACTTATTTGGTGATCACATATTTTTCTGGCATGACCGACCTCCTTTCCAATGGATGGCATCATCAACATATACATCAAAATCTGTGCCGGCAGCGACCAGCACATCATTAACGATTAATATTGATTCAAATTCGATTTTAGTTGGACTTTTCCCTAAAAGCGATAACGCCCAGTTTTCTGGTCGATTAAAAGAGCGGTGCCGCCAAGTTGCCGCAAAAAATTCATTAGGCCCAATGGAAATTTCTCACTTGATTACGGACCAAATCCGATTTCAAAGGGCTGTGCCACATGCGGTGTAATTAAATTTTCTTTGTTGCTTGGGAATTCGCTACGAATTTAATTGAGGCGGCCCACGGCGTTTTTCTGCCTATAAACGTACTACATAAGTATGTATATCCATCTTTTTATAGGCATAGGTTTGGGCTGGGGCTGGGGCTGGGGCTCGGCTGGGGCTGGGCCCTTCATTCGCACAATTAGCAATTTCATGCGTCTTTGTTTCTGCTTTTGTATCTTTTTGGGACCCCCACCAAAGTTCGAGTTTCCATGGCCTTTATTTTATTTCATTTCGTTTTGTTTCGATTCCGTTGTAATGTGTGAAATTGATTTTCGTTTGGCGATTGGGCTTGTAATGGGCAAAAAGTTTTTCCCACTCTGCGGAGGTCTCAGTCTCAGTGCGTATAAAGACAATTAACTCTGAATAGATGGGAATGCCAGATGGAAGTGGGGTTTCTTTTCCAGCATATATATAGTACTATTATGTAAGTAGTACTACTGTTTGGGAGATCATTTGAAGGTTGACCCACATTTAGCATTGATCACTTGAGGTGTTTCCTATCACAGCGGTTGCTGCAGTAAGTGCTTCCAACTCTAACCATCTTGGGAGTAAATGCTGCGAAACTTGTCTGGGCAGCTGCTCAAGCAGCGGCTCTATCAAAGACTGGGTAGCGGGCACCTGGGACACCTTCCTTGACAGCATCATCACATCACATCGCATCGCACTCGTAACATTTGCAACATTCGCATTCAAATGACACTAACGGCTTTGTCATGTACTGGGCTATATGTGACTGTGTCTTTCCGTCTCTCTTCGAGCGCCAGTAATCATGTTTTAACGACACATACACATATTTTCCGTGTATGCGAATGTAGTATGGTGAATCGTCAGCGAGTCCATATAGAAATCTTGTAATCTGATAGGCATGACAAGAAATATTTTGCTTGTCATTAAATTTACTTTTATTTATGCAGCACTGTCTATCATTGTGGCTGTTGTTGCTGTTGCTGTTCGATTCACGTGTTTTGTTTCGGCTGCGGCTCAAAATTAGTGAAAACTCTTCACATTTGTGGCTAAAAGACTGAGTACTGCAAGACTGAAGACTGAAGAGTGAAGAAAACTTCAAAATGTGTGCATACATAAGTTGGCGCCTCCTAACGTCTTCTAGTCATTGATTTTCGACCATTGTTGGTGCTTTTGTGGCTGTGTGCTGTCTTCTTGGCTTGGCTTGGCTTGGCTTGGCTGGGCTTGTGTGCCTGCCTGCCTGTCTGCCTGCCTGTTGGCCGGGTTGAGTAATAGGCGAAATATTTGCGCATGCCTCATTACAGTTGGGTTTTTGGTTTTTGGGTTGCGGTAATCGATGCCAGTGTAAGCCAAATATGCGAGGGTGTGGCGAAACAAAAGACTTGGGCAACAAGCACTGATCGAAACTCTGATCCTCCCTCCCAACTTCTATGTAGAATGATTGCCAGTCAATTGGATGCGTGACATTTGCCGACAGCCCGCGTCAGCGGTGACATCACCCAGAGTCAGGCCAATCAAATGTCAGCCAAGTGCGTCACTGATTTGCAATCCAAAGGGGGCTAACAAAGGGCACCAGCAGCAGCAGTAGAAGCAGCAAGTGTTAGCTGGAAATCAAATGGCTGCTAAACGGCAGCCAACTAAATTGACGGCTTCACTGACTAACCGAATGACAGACACACCGACAGACTGACAGACTGACACACAGACCGACAGACAGACAGTCAGACATTCAGACATTCAGTCTAGACAACATGTGTAATGACGCGTAGATCGGGCAAAAAACTTTAGCAGCAGCAACAATAGCACAGGCATAATGAGCACAATTACTGGCAAAGCAAATCAAATGCAACGCGCTACCGCAGCGCAGAACCGCGCCGCGCCGCGCCGCTTCGAATCAGTCACATTAATTGCAGCAGCAGCAGCAGCCGCCAGCTCACAAAAAAATCGTTCATAAATTATAGCAAAGGCAGCGGAAAAAAAGTATTAATTAAAAAAAGGAGGAAAAAAGTTGCAACGGTAACAACAGCTATTAAGAAAATTTCTTGTTGACTCATCCGAGTCCACAATTAACAACTGGGGGACGGGACGGGGACTCAAGACTCGAAGACTGGAAGACTGAAAAAATGGGAGGGAGACTACTACCAAGAATTGCTTTGGCTCTGAGACTGGGTCCAAGTCTGAGTCTGAGCTTCTGGCCAGCATTTCTTGCACTCATTTGTCGCGTTTTGTCTCAGTCACTTGGCGATTTCTTTGTCAGAGCTCTCGGCAATTAAACAATTGTTGTTGCTGCTGCTGTATCTGATGCTCTGACTGTTGCATCTGTGTTTATTGTTGCTGTTGCTTCTGCTGCTGCCGTTGTCGTCATCATTGCTGTCCATAAATTTTATTTAATTCGCTTTATGCTCTCGCATTTCCCCCAGTCCCAGCCCCAGCCACAGCCACAGCCCCTTGTAAGCACACGCCCTGCTGGCTGCGGGAATCTCGTGACTTGCGTTTCGCAATTGTGAGAATTAAATAATTCTTTGCATATTTATTTACAAACATTATCGCTGGCAATTTCCTCAAAGCTGATTAATACTTTTTGTTCTCGTTCGGTTTTGTTTTAATGTGAGTTTTTAATATGCAATTACAGAATGGAGTTGGAATACTCTACAGAAATTTTGGAAATATAAAGGGATATATTGGTAGGGCTTTCCCTCAAGAGGGAAGTATATTTCCAGAATTAAAGGTTATTTTTTAATTCCGAAAGATGAATTAATATTCCAATGGAACATTGAAAGAATCTGCGATGTAAATTATATATGTAAAACTTTTCTTAAGTAATAGATTGGAATCTATATGTGTGTGTGTGTACTATAAATCACAGAACACAGTTCCGCATGAAATTTAATTTATTTATTTCAAATGAAACAGAAACAGAGAAACATTGAGTTTTTTTCCAGCTGAGTTTCCTCTTAATTGAGGCAAGAGGAAAAAGTCGCTTTTCCAATCAATTGCATCACAAGAGCAATCCCACTGACAGCGACGACGACTACGACGGCGACGACTGACACTGTAGACGCGCCAATTGTTAACGTGTTGAAGTGTTTTCATTTAAATTGCTCAACTGAACTTGTAATTATGGCTCACTCTGATTATTACTGCACTGTGGGATGCAACTGAGAGCAAGGAAGTGGCTGGAGCTGAAGCTGAAGCTGCAGCTAAACCTCAAGCTGGTGCCAGAGATAAATTATGTTTAGAGCCAAGTGCCAGGTATGTCTCTCCCTGCACGAGTGTGGCTAAGTCTCAGTCGCAGCCTCAGTCTCAAATCATAGCAATTAATTGTTGTTAAAAATGCCTTTACTAACGGTTTTATGGTCGAACAACAAAGGCAGCACCGTTTGCCGTCTGCCGTCTGCCATCTGCTGTCCGCTGTCTTGTCAGTTAATTGTATTTGAAATCGCTGCCTCTACTAATTGATAAGTTTCCTCAACTTCAACTCGGACTCTAACTCCAAATGAAGCATTGGCACAGCGCCAGGAGCTAGGCAATACAATACGCGGATGGGCGGCACTGGGGCACTGGAAGTGGCACTGGCACATAAAATGCAATTACAAACGCATAAACTGAGGCAAAGTGTTTGGTTGTTCGACTTACCTTGGGGCGGGGTGAGACTTGAAAGATCTCTGCTGGACAGAATCTACGGTGCAAGGCGATGCGATGCGATGCGATGGTTGAGCGATGAACGGTTTAAGGCACTGATCGAATCCAGATACAGATGCAAACGGGACACTCACACACACACAGAATCACACGCACACACTCACTGTTGCCTATCCAGGCTCAATCTCTTGAAACGCGGATGTGGATGTGGACGTGGACTGGCAAAAACTGGCAAGTGAAATATTTATGTAAATTTATTTCAACTTCTTTTTTGTTTTGTTTTGTTGTTAAGTTGAATGTGTGTTTGTGGTTGGGGCTAAAATGCATTAAGAGGCACACTTTGCAATTGTCGTTGGGGCAGCGATTTGATTGAAGTTGAAGTTGAAGCTGAAGCTGGAGATGGAGCTGAAGCTGAAGCTGAATGTGAAGTGTCCCCCCAGTGGGGCAGGCCGACAATCCGACAATCCGACTGGCAGGCGAAACGTTGTTTAACAATTGTTTTTTCTGCCGTTTCGTTGTTTGGCAGGATTTGAGTTGTCAATTAGTTTGTTGGGATCTGTTGGGGTCTGCTGCTGCGGTCTGCTGTCGCTGCTATCACTCGGTAATTTGGAGGCGCCCGAAGCGCCGTTATCTGGTGTGTGTGTGTGAGCGAGTGTGTGTTCGATGGGGTGTGTGTTTGTGCTTTTGCTTGTGTGTTGTGTTGTGTTGTGCAGCTCGACAAAATAAACGACACCACGAAATGGCAGCAAGTTCGTTGCCCAAGTCTTTTATTTGAGCTCCACGCGAACGCTGAACGATTGGAGGCGGCAAAGCTGTAGCGGGAATGGAACTGGAAGCCGAACCGGGATCGAACCGTGTGGAGCTGAATTAGAGCCTCTGTTTCTTTATTTGTGAATCGTTAAGATCGCTTTATTGCAGCGTGTTTCTCTATATACAATATAACTAATTTACTGATACCAATATTTTTTATTGCACGCTCTTTATGTGATCTTTTGGGCAGGCAGTGATTAAAAATGAGTTTAATTTAATTTGATTATTTATTTATTTCTCCTTTTTTATATGTTTGTTCAAAACGAGTTTTGTGTCTCTTTTGTGCATATTACTTTGTACATATACGTATACGTATGCACATACATATGTTCAGCCTGATCTTGTCGCGACATAGGGCAGACTCTATAGTCACTTTACATATTCCTTATGTACGGTGGAGCGTATGCTACTACTACTACTACTACTACTTTGATTCGGTTTTATGGCCGCACTGAATTGCTTTTTACTGTTGCCAGACTTTTTACGAGCACTATTTGTAAGGTAGCCGCACAATAAAAGATTAGGTTTGAGCGCCAGATGCAGGCGGGATTATCATTTTCATTTTCATTTGCTTCTCAATGTCCATTTCCATTTTGGTCCCATTTTCATTTCCATTTCCATTTCGATGGCTGTTTTCTTGCCCAAAAATCGTACGAAAAAAACACACGCAAAACGCAGGGGAAACGCTCGCACGCGACTTCGTAGGCGCGCACGCGATTCAGTCACAGAAATTCGCGAACTTCTCGCGTGGAAATAGCTTTCCTGTCCCACTGCGAAAAACGCGCGCAATTGCAACAAGCTCAAACAGTCCCGCAAGAAAGTCGCACAGAAACTGCAAGAGGATGAAAATTGCAAGCGGCTCCCAAGCCAAGCTGTTCCAGCCGCAGTCGAGTGCAGGCGACGCAGGCAGCAGGCAGCAACCGAAGCAGAGACTCAATGCAGTTGCCGGTGCATCAGCAGCAGCAGCAGAAGCAGCAGCAGAGAAGCAACAGTTGCAAAACAGCAAAAAATCTCTGAGCAAAAAAAAGCAGGCAACACGAAATAGCAACAACCTCTCGGAGACCGACTGACCGAGTAATACAGTCCAGTCCCCGAAACAGGGAGTTGGTGGGGGAGGGGAGGGAACAAGAGGAGTAGAGCAGGCTGCGGTTTGGGGCCCGAGCCGAGCGATCGCACACGAACCTGGAGCAACGGAACGGCTGAAAAAAAGCCGCTAAGAGCGCTGAGAAAACCTGTTGCTCGTCGTCGCTGCCAGCGTCGTTCGTTGCTTCGTGTTTATCGCGGATCGCTCGCCTCTCTCTGACGCGCTGCCTGGCTTGGGCTTGGGCTCTGGCTGTGGCTCTCTCTTCGCTGCTTGCCTTCCAGGGCAGAGAGAGTGAGAGAGGCTGCCGTAGCGGTTCATTTCCAGTTGGCTGCAATATCAGTTGCCGATCAGCTTTTGACCAATAAAAAAGAGGTTTAAGCCATGCGTCTGGAACGACGCAAGCAGCGCGGCTAGCGTCAGCGCAGACTTGGCATCCAGCTAAGAGAGCGCCAGCTAAGAGAGCCACGACGCCGCTCTTATGGCCAACAAATTGCTTAGGGCCAGGTTCGAACTGATAAGAAATTGAATAAAATTATATGTAAGTATTTCATTAAGCCACAAAAGTGCACACATTTCCTGGCCGGCAACGCCCTGGCATTAAGGCATTATCAAAGCTCATTTATCAGCGGGCCAAGAGACACAAAAAAAAAGTGGCCTGGCCAAAACATGGCTTGTGTGAAAAATACCAAAATTAAAAGAGTGCTGTGCTGGATAAAAATCATAATTGAAATATTTGGAGAGGTGCCACAGAGCAACATCTACCCGAGGAGCCACAGGCTTCAGAAGCTGACAGGCCAACACTTGCCACACGTCGAAAGGTTGCGGCTTTGACAATTTAATTGTCACACGCCCGCCACTTTTGGCCAGCTCCAGCAGCAGCGACACGGACACCAACACGAACACGAACACGCCGCCTCGAACTCTATTAACGAGGCCCATTGATGGACACTTGAATGGAGAGCCGCTGGCAGGCGAGAAGGAGGAGGAGGAGGAGCCGGGCGGTGGCAGCCTTAGGAGCCGCATTAACATAAACAAGTGTTGCTGGAGTTCCTTTGGAGGAGCTGCAAAAGGGTAACAGAAACATCTCGAACACTGTCATAAATAACGCGACAATGACAACTTGTTTGGGCCTCTTCTACCTGGCAGACCGACCTCTCCAACGGCAATGACAACGGCAACGACAACGGCCAATGGCAATGCCATTGGACTCCAACGGAATCGGAATTGGTATCGGAATCGGAATCGCCTAATGCAGCAATTGACGTGCGGCGTTTGCACCTATCCCGGCATTTGATGCCTCCGCGGTCGGGTCGGTCCCCAAGGCGGAGGCCACATAAAAGTGGCGCGGCAATTGCCAACTTTGGTCACTGCCGGCGACAAGTGTAAAACGACTGTCGGCAACTGCTACCGAGACTTGTCCTCCCTGGAGCTGGGCCAAGTGCTTGCTCCTCCTTTTCCTCGGAGCACAGCACAACACAGCACAGCACTGTAGCGGCAGAGGCAGATCCCCGTCAGACGGTTGGACAGTGGGTTTGTGTGTTTATGGCAGCTGCCGTTTGATACTCATTCAAGTGCCGCCTAACATGATTTCGGTGTCATCTGCTTTTCAGCTTTAATATTGCCTGTTTAATGTGACATTTGCTGTTGCTGCGGCCTGTTGCTGTGGCCTGTTGCTGTTGCTGTTGCATTATTTATGAGGCATCGATCCTGCCACATTCACCTCTCTCGCTCGCTGCCACTGCCACTGGCACTAGCACTGGCTCTGGCTCTATCGCCTGCTCACCCTCCTCGATGGCATTTTAAACGTTTCACATTTTTAATTTAGTGATGATTGATGTCTTGTCCACGTTGCCTTGACAACGACACACTTGACTCCCGTCTCCCGTCTCCGTTTCCATCTACAACCAGATCCACGACCACGTCCAGGTCCAGGTCCCGTCTCGGATTCGCATTTGGATTGCCTGTGGGGATACGCAGCTGTGTGTCTCTGGGACAAAAGTCAATTAAGCTGCGATTTAAATGCTGCCCAGGGTCAGCGTCGAGTCCCGTCCCGTCCCGTCCCGAAAAGAAAGGAGTGCCCGACGGCATGGGAAGTGCACCTCTCAAATGGCCGCAAATGGCCTCCTCTCCGGTTACAATGGGGGCCCGTGGCCAATGGCCAATGGCCAGTGAGCGCCATTTGACCTGATTTTATTTGCACTATTTTACTTTTATTGCTCACTGTTCGGGGCTGCACTGAGAGAAAGAGTCAGGAGTCTGGAGTCAGGAGCCAGGGAGGAGACCAAACAGAGCAGGAATAAATGGGGAGAAGACTTTTCTCGGTGCACTGCAATGATGCGGAACTGAATACAAAATGAAATTGCATCCACAAATTGCCAGGGCGACGGCCATCGACAATTTCATTTCTCTCTTCGTTTGAGTGGCTGCTGGTGCTGGCTGCTTCCATTTGCAATGGGGTTCAAAAGGTTTGGCAAATTATAAATTAAAAGTAAATCGAATCGAATGCTTAGCCATTTGTCTTTGAACTTGAAAGTGGCTGGCAATGTGAAAGCCACGGCCAAAGGGGTCACATCTAGACCGGACCAGCACCAGCATCAGCACCAGAACCAGCAGGTGCATGCCAAATCCGTTTGTCAGCACTGTCAGAGTCCGTCTCAGCCTCAGTTTTTAGCCACAGCTTCAGCTTCAGCCACAGCTTGAGAGTCGTGTGTTTTTCCAGCTTGTTCTAATTTGCATGCAAACGGATCTGTAGCCGGACTGTGGCGACCTGCCACATGCCATGACGAATTACTTGACACCTGCGACAGGCCATAAAACAGATATCTATTTCGCGTGGGCGGCTCATTTCGGTCGGGTTTGGTTCTGCCTCCGCTCTGGTCCGTTCTTTATGTGCACTTCCATCAGCATCGTCATCGCCATCTAGCTTCAGTTCCATCTCAATCCTCCATCTCCATCTCCATGTCTATGTCCAGCTCCATCTCCATTTCAATTTGTATTGATTGCAGCTGGTTCGCTTGCTAATTACCATTGCCGGGAACAGGAACGTCTGCAACATCTTGCTTCCCAGCTACCAAACAGCTGATTTATGGCCAGGCATTGCCATTTGATGAGTTGGCCATTTGCCGTCGGCCCGTTGGCACGTTGGTCCAATGGCCGGCACCCGCCCCCTCGCCAGACAGCTTTTAGTGCGTGCATCACTCATTGTTACAGTTAGAGAGCTGGCAGCTCTAATTTAATTTAAATGAAACCCACCAAAGAGACACCCGCCTGGTACTGGCACTGGCGACTGCTCGACTGCTCGGCTGCTGTCCTGCCGCTGCTCATTTGTCTGCCTCCAGCCTCAGTTTGCAAGCGGATCTCTTGCTCCACATCCGCAGCCCCTGCCCCTGCAGGTTTTCAAGTGTGTTTGCATTAGTCGAGGTGAAATTTTCCCCACTCACCGGCGTGGGCGGTGGTGCTTCAGCAATGTGTTCCGTCTTTATGGCCCCCCGTTTCCATGCGCTTTGAGACCTGAATCTGCTCGTAGACGTAGACCTGGACATAGATTGCAATTCATTTCCATTCCATTCGCCAGACATTCAATTCAATTATTTTTTCATTCTCAAACATTCGGGCTCATTAACGTGCGCTGGTGATGGGGACAGGGGGTGGGCTATCAATTGTCATCTGGGGGATCGCAGTTGTCATCAGCAGCCCCATGCTTATGGCTGTTAATTCATTTCTGTGCGCTCTTATCAACATCGCCATCAGCGCAAAAGCGAACATTTGTTAAACACTAAATGCACTTATTTGTTTGGAGGCAGCCCCCAAGAATGCCATCGGCTCTGGCCACACAGCCACTGCAGAGCAGAGGCCCGACTCTACCTCTACGAGTATGACTGACAGTAGTTAAGACCCGGCTGCTCAGTGGGGAAGCTACTAAAATGAGGCAGCTCCAGCTACAGCTCTAGCCGCGACTCAGACTCTGCCTCAGACTCTACAGCTTTTGACTCCCACGTTTGTGATGGCGCATTGCACAAATTGCATTATTTGCACGCCGCGCAGTTGCAGCCACAGTGGTTGTTATACCCTGCCTGCAGAGAGTTTACTTATTTTGAGTGTGTTTTTGCACCTTAAACCTTGCATAATGCCTCCTGCACTGAATGCCGTCTAACTGACATAGGACAGATCGGTCGAAGGTTAAGTGTTTATCTATTATCTCTCTAAGTTATTTGTTATTTGTGAACTCCCAGGGTATCAAACGCTTCGGTATCTCTGCTTTCTTTGCTTTCGTTGCAGTTGCAGTTGCAGGCATTTGCTGTTAGTGGCTGACTGTTGTTGTTAGTATTATCATCAACATTGTTCTTGTTTTTGGGCTTTGGCCCGCTTGGCCCTCTTGGCCCGCGCACAACTTTTGCAGCTCCGTTTTTTTTTTTTTTTGTTTTTGTTTTTTGTTGTTGTTGTATTTTTTGCTCCTTTGATCGCTGCGGCACTTGACGCCACGAGAACATAAAAATGCTTTTCAGCACTCGAAATGATGATGACTACGACTCGGCGGCTGCTGCTGCTGCTGCTGTGCTGGTGCCTATGCTTCTGCCCCTGCCCCTTGTTCAACTAAACTACTCCAGTCGGAATAGCATTTTAATAGACAAAAAACTACTCGACACGACGACCCAGAGCCAGAGCCAGAGCCAGAGCCACAGCTCACAGAGTCAGTAAACATGTGAAAATACTTTGGAAGAAAGAATTGCCAGCACACGCTTTTCTAATTTAAGAACCTTTCGCTGCATGTCCAGAAATTTGACATCGCAGAAATGTTATCTAAGCCACAAACGGAATCCAGTTAGCTGCCCCACTGCAGTGGGGAGAGGGCGAATAAAGGACGCCCTGTGCAGCACTTGGCTTGCCCCATTTGCTGCTGTTGCTGCTGCTGCTGTTGCTGGGGTGGGTGTTGCTGCTGTTCCTGCTGCTGCTGCTGCTGTAATGAGCAACTGAAATTATTTTCGCGTATGAGTCTCCGCCATTCGAGTCTGATTCAGAGCTGGGGCCGACGCTTGCGTCTGATTCAGTGCTGGAGCTGTTAAGTGAAGTGCTCATCATGACAGCTGCAGAAATGCAGCCTAGACGAGGATGATTTATAATTGTCATCGACTTCCTGGTTTGGTTACTCAAACGGATGATGAAAGCCTGTGCAGATTCATTTCAACACCTGCTCTAGCGAATGTTCAGCCGAGCAGGCTACTCCTTGGGGCTAGAAGGAGCAGTCTTTCTGTCGGAATCATCGTAATCATCAGTTGCCCTGGAGCTAATCAGCCAGCGTTCGAAGTGGTAACCAGATCATCATACCGAAACGACTAAATTACAAATTATTTCTCACTGTGACTTTAATGCCTCGTATACACTCGTATTCAGACCGTTTCAGATTTGATTATGATAATCTTCTTCTGTTTTTAAAAAACTTTTCTTTATGTGAATCGGCGAATAGCTCGTGTTGGTTAATGAGCATGGGTTCCTTGCATTTACACTCGTGGTAGAGACAGTCCCGAATGATTGTCTGTACGAAGTCGTAGTACATCCACATGGAGGCAAAGACATCGGGAATGTTATCGCCACAGGCGAGCCCATAGCTGACCACGCCCACCAGTCTGCCCTTGAGGACGAGGGGGCCGCCAGAGTCCCCGCTGCAGGTACCACCGGCGAAGAAGGCGCAAAGGCAGCCAAGGTCCACGGCGTCAGTCTCATCGCTCGTTGAGTAATACTGTTGGCACTCATCCAGGGAGATGCCTGTCATTATTAGCTTCTGCAGCTTCTGGGGATACTCCTCGATGGGCGACGTTTCGTTGGACAGCTCCAGGAACGAGATGGCGCCCCAGCCTGTGATAAGTAGCTTTGATCCGGGCGGCACTGGCCGCCAATCGATGGTGATGGGCTGCACAAATTTTCCGTATTTAATGGCCTTGGTCACTCTGACCAGGCCCACGTCGTCGGCGTGAGAGTCCTCCCTGTAGCGGCAGTGGACAATCATGTAATCGGCGGTGTAGCGCTGTCCCTCGATCGCATTGGACAGATCTGTGATGCCCACCAGTACGGTAGGTAGCTTCTCAACGAGACAGTGCGCCGCCGATAGGATCCATCGGGGGGTGACAATGCTACCGCCGCAAAAGTGCCAGCCCTCTTTCTGCAGGGAGACTTGATAGGGGGCCAGTCCCGCCTCCGCATCCTCGCCATTGATGACCCTCGGGTGCAGGGATTGGACAATTTGACAGGACTGCAGCCAGCACAGGACAAATAGCAGCCACGGGAGCAGCGACACAGACTGGTGACTGTTGGGCATTGTGGAGTGGACTGTCTAACGACAGGGCATGGCCCAACAGATGTGGTAAATCAATTGGTTTCTCTTTCTTATCAAATTAGTTGCGCATTTCATCCGATTCCACTGGCTACAGAATGATTACTCTATGGATTGGAGTGCTTGGAAGTAGCAGCAGCGGCAGCAGCAGCAACAGTTCCGCTTCCAGCGACCAGGAGGCACCAACTCCAGATTATGCAACGCCAGACAGCAACGGGGGCTGTGGCGGGGCTATGGCTGGCAATTAATTTAATTACAAACGGCATGAGAGCTCGCCACGCCCTGAATTTATTTTAATTAGCCCGATATTCGCTTCATTATATTTACATACATCAAATCGCGGCTCAGGCGAGGCAGCGAAGCGTTGCCAAGAAATGGTTCGGTCTAATAAGTGGCATTTATAATTTTATTGACTGCCAGGCCAACCCAGCAACAGCAACGCGTTGCAACGGCAACAGCGACGACCACTGCACTGGATTGCTGCTGCGGATAGCATAGCCAAGTGAGATCGATGGATGGCGAGTTCTGGGAGATATAGTTTTGAAATCCATGGCAGCAGAAGAGCCGCCGGCTCGAACTAAATTTGGTCATATGCCAGCCAGATCGATGCTAAATTTTTCGACATTAGTCTGCTGTTTTTTGTGGCCCAGAGCTGTCACGCCGCACAGAACTGCATGAGGAAACCACACAAACTGGAAATATGCGGAGCAAACCGAACGAATTCCGATTACACTCACTGAAATTATGCAGATCTGATTTCGGAATTGCTTTTACTTATTTTTGATTTAATTTGAATCAAACTCGCTTATCCGGGAATTTTCAGTTCGAATAACCTAAATTCTCAATAATTCTCGGTAATGGTAATCAAATGACGCCGTCCATGGACCCACTTTTAGGGCATTTGCTAAATTTGGAGTGCTCGTCAGAGCGGGTGCTTTTGGTTCCGCCGGTTTGGGCCATGTTTGCTAAGCGGGCACACGTCGAATCACCGGCCCGGGCCTAGCTGGGCCGGGCTGGGCCGGGCTGGGCCGTGCCGGCTGTAGCCTCAGCCTCTGACATATTCCTTGTTGGCGGCGCACGACTTGGGCTAAGGACCCAACCTCGAGCCACTCTGACACGGATTGGGGGCATCATTATGATGTGACTGTGACGGGGCCCGGGCCACCTTTCGGGAGGGGCTGCATTTGCCTTGCCATCAACATTTTCATTTTCGTTTGGCATAGAATCGCCGCAGCCGCCGTCGCAGCCCCTGTGCCTCGTTTCGTTGCCATGTGGCACATTTATCAGAAAATGCCCAACTCCTGACATTTGGCCGGCCACTTGAACTGGGTTAGCAGTGCAGTCTCTTGGTCGTTCGTCGCATTGCTCTTATCCCCTGCCAGCCCTCCCAGCCCTCCCAACTCCGGGCTCATTAATTTTATTTGTTGCCAAAAATGATTGTTTCGCCGCCGCCGGCACCTTTTGGCCATCGCTGGGCTGGATTTCTCAATCTCTGGCAAGATTTTCTAAATTCGAAATTGAATTGGGAAATCAAAACATGGGATATGCTCGTACTCGTACATGGGACCACTGCCAGAATGTGTAATTAAAGGGCGAACCGAATCAAAGGGCGGTCCGAGGCCGCTAATTAAGTTTTTAATGATTCGCATTTGCCTTGTACGGACTCGTGCAAGCTGGCAAATCAATTAGCGCCCGCAGCTAATAATAACCATGAGCCTAACAAATGAGAGACCAGCCGAGACCAAATCGTTTTGACAATTGCAGCCGAAATACGCCCAAGCCAGGCCAAGACAGGCCAGACCAGGCCAGGCCAGGCCAGGCCCGACCAGGCAGCGTCGGTCAGGCAATCTCTGATGTAATCTGGGGAATTGGCGTCGTTGGCCTGAAATATGTTTTATCGCATTTATTATCAGCCGCACCAAATCGTCTATAATTGAAAAACTGTTAACTAGATTAGCTGCCATTAGAGCGGGAGACGAACGCGTATTGGCCCCGCCCGCCCAAATGCCCGATCAGGCTGGGTCCAAGTCCACATCCACAGCCACATCCAAGTCCATGTCCAGGCGGAGGCGGTGAGGTGGCTGCAGCGGCTGCAGCTCGTAGCCAGTTTTGTGGCCATTTAGTTGGTCCACTCCGAGAGATAAGTCCCATTCCAGCAAGCACTTGATCGTTTAGTTAGTGGACTTGGCCAAAATGGCGCTGGCCAGATACATAAATAAACGACAGCTGCCCCAAAGGGACATGCCATCCATTCTCCATTTTCGAATTTTGTTTATTTATTTAAGTGCCTTCAAATCAGCCATTTTACTTGCCTCTCTTTGAAATCTAATTAAGTTGTTTAAGTGGAATTTGTGGCCATAAAATTATGCAAATCTGTGCGCCACCACACCACTCTGCTTACCACTCCGCTCGTCTCGTCCCGTTCCTCGATAGCAGACACTCTGCGGATGCATATTTGCATTGGTAATTTGCACGCCAAAAGCCAAAGGCCCCCGCGGGCTCCACTCTCGGCTCGTAAATCATAAGTGGGTGAGTTACGGTTCGTATCTTTTGTTTTTCCAACTGCTTAGCGCTCGCCAGGCGCCACTCTTAGCCGGCATGGTGCTGCTCCCGCTCCGCCAGAACTCCTTGGCCGAATGAAAGTGAAAGCATTTTCTCGGTAGGATTCTTAGAACGGCTGCAGTACTTAGTGGGCACAAGGCATACACTCTCAGTGCGCTGCTACGCTGCTTTAAGTCAATCATTTAAGTCTCAGGCTCGTCGAGAAATCCTCAAGTACTTAACTGTGTCACCAAAGTTTGTTTTTGTTTTCGTCTTGGCTTGTGTGCATTTTACGATGACTGCTCCTTATGGTCAAAAAGAAGAAGGTGGATCGAGGCTGGCTGGGCTTTGGATGTTTAGTGCCCACACAGACACAGACTGGCAGGGCATAAAGATGTCAACGCTTAACTTATCAAGACCGTTCAACAAACACGAACATGAACACGGCAAATGGCAGTGGCCAACGCCAACGACGATGACGATGACGATGAGTATGACAATGATGTTAATACAATAAAAAACTACAATAATTTCTTCTTTGGGTTTTATTTGCGTGTTGTCCGTTGCATCGGTTGCTGTTTCTGCTGTTGCTTCTGTTGCTGCTGGTCACAAAATACAAGTAGCGCCCACCGCTGACCGTTTATCAAACAACAATAAACTGTAATTTATGAAAAATGCTTGTAAAATGACGATAAAACAAGTGCCAGACAGTCCACCGACCACGAACACAATAACAACAACAGCTTGATGATGATGCTATTGCTGATGATGATGATGATGATGATGACATGGACATCGCTGCCAGTCTTGTGCAGAGTTGGGGCCAGCAATTGGTGTGTGCATCTGCTGCAGTAGCAGCAGCAGCAGCACCGCCTGCCTCCGCATCTCTGGTGGGTGTACGGATGTATGCAAGAGTCTGCGGAGGAGACAAACAATCCATTGGGCTGGTATGCGAGTGGTTGTGGTGGGGTCGGGCTGGGGCTCGGGTTCGGGTTCGGGGGTCTACGATCCCCAGCTGCATCTTCACATTTGGCCCGAACATCTGACCATTGTCAACACGCTGGTTTCTTGTTCGGACCGCCAGCAATTGTCTTGGATACCCAATAATCTCCACTGTCCAGAGGTGTATCAGTTGTAATGAAAAGAATAAATTAAATTAAATTAAAAATCCAACGAATATTATACTCAGAATTAAAAGGAGAGGAAAGAATAGCCTGTAAACTCATCCTTCTCTATTTTATTGCATGTGTGTATTATAATAAATTATTCTAATTTGGGATGTTAAAATTGATAGGCACCTTTCTATAGTGTTTTAGGGTATTCTCCCCGTCGAGAATGCTTTACCTGGAACCATCTCAGTTGTTTATTTGGGTCACTCTGGCTGCTGGTCAGGACTGCGACAATTTGTGTGCCACGCAACTTTTGCTTTCGAGCGTTGGCGCGGTGCCTCTTGAGTTTTGCTACCTTTCCCTCTGTCCGGTTGCATTTTCATTGTATTCAGAGTCAGCCGGAGTGTGCAAGTCAGCCCTTAAAAACGCTGACAAATCGAAAAGAACAACACGTCTCAGCTCCACACGAGTCCGTGGCACTCTGAGGATTTAAGCCGCAGGACTATCCGCCGGCTGGGTAGCATGAAAATGTATTATTCTCTGCCATGGAGCCTCACTCACGCTCACTGTCCACTATGTCAATATTTGCGTTTGCTTGAACAACTTTTCAGTGGAGTGACATCGGGAAAGCAAATAAAGAAGGGTAGCATAATTTGTATGTGCCGATCTATTTATACAACAGGGGGAATAAATCGTTGGTATTTTATTTATCTTTCTTGTTACTATTATTTGTATTAAATTTGATTTCTAAAAATTCAATTTAATTTCCATCAGAAACCTTAAAAACTTTAAATTTCCTAGACGAATTTTTGCTGCATTCTTAGCCCACTCGAAAGTTCTTTATGGCCATCTGTTTTTGCTGCTGGCGCGTGTCTAATGGGTAGTCGTCATTTGTTCTATATTTAATTGTCATTAAATCGGGAAAGCGTCACTCAATCACTCAATCGGTGGAAAGTGAAGTTACCATTTTGTCGGCAATGGAAAAAGTTAAATGCGTGCCACGAAGTTAGCTTCTATTTGTAGTAAATACCGGTATCAATTCCGGGAAGAGGTCAGACCGTTGTCAGTGCTCAAACATGTCGCGACGGAACAGTTCTCTCTCCGAAGGACTCCTCACACGGCTTGTATCGTTGCTGATTAGTCACGGTCCGAGTGTGCGGACCATCTTCTACTATAACCCCGCTGGAACGGACTGCCACTTGGAGGAGTATCTACGACCAGCCACTGCTGCGGATATACCATTATTTATTTGGCGTTCGGTTCACACTGTTGTTCAGCTGAATGGGCTCCTCGACGAGGGATTCCTGGTGCTGGCCTGTTTGCCGGGAGTGCAGCGGGAGGATCTGCTGAGAGGTCTGTCCAATAGTTTGCGTTACTTGCGCCAGGCCTGGCTGCTCATCGAGCTGGGGGGCAGGACGGGGCAGGACGACGAGCAGTTGGTCACGAAGGTACTGCAGTTCTGCCTTCGAATGGACATGATCAATGCCGATGTGATCTTGAGTAACTTTGAGGAGAGCCGGACTGTGTACGGCTATGAGGCGTATCCGGAGTTTGCATTGAGGAAACAATTCTTTGGACCGGACCTACTGATCCCCAGCCTTTACCCCGATAAGGTTCGGAATCTTAATGGCTATCAGCTACGCACACTGCCGGATCTCTCCGAGCCAAACACTCTCCTCTACTACGACCAGCAGGGTCGTGCCCAGATTCTGGGCTATGTGTGGAACATGCTGGTGGAGTTCGCCCGCAAACACAATGCCCAGCTGCAGCTGATCGGGAAGCCGGTGCAGGGAAAGACCCTGAGCCACATCCAGATGCTGGATCTGGCAAATGACGGCCAGGTGGACGTGGCAGCGAGTGTGCAGCCCATAACGATGCGCTTCCTCGACCGCTACCACGAGTACGCCTATCCCGTGCACTGCGCCAGCTGGTGCACCATGCTGCCCATGGAACGACAGCTGGAAGTCAGCGAGGTCTTCTCCTGGACAGTGCCCGCTCAGCCGCTTGCCCTGCTGGTTCTTCTGTGGCTGGTGCACGAGTTTCTGCGCGGACGCTGGCAGCGGCACAGGCGACTCCAAGCCGTGGGCTGGCTGGTGCTGGTCACTCTGCTCACAGCCAACTACCAGGGACGAGTGCTCAGCCTGCTGTTGGCGGCACCCACAGATCCGCCCATCGACAGCTTCCAGGCGATGGCCAACTCCGAGCTGCATATCTTCGGAGTACGCTCCGAGTACGCCGCCTACGATTTCGATATGCGTACGAGATTCGCCAGCATTTTCCGGCTCAGCAATCTCGCCTCGGATCTGATCCAGCTGCGGAACTCCCTGAACACCACCTTCGCCTATACGGTGACCAACACCAAGTGGCAGCTGTATGCGGAGCAGCAGGCCCACAGCTCTCGGCCCCTCTTCCGCTACTCCACAGACCTGTGCTACTACGAAATGGTGCCCTTCGCCCTGGTCATTCCCGAGAACTCGCCACACCGCCCCACCCTGCACCACTTCATGCTGCAGCTGGCTGAATCCGGACTCTTTGACCACTGGGTGGGTCGGAGCTTCTACTACATGGTGCAGGCGGGTCGCCTGCACATACGGGACCTCAGCGAAGGGCGCCACATCCAGCCGCTGTCCAGCGCGGACCTGGCCAATGTTTTCCTGTGCTGCGGTGTTTGTCTCCTAATTAGCCTCTGGGTGTTTGCCTGCGAGCTGCTTGTGCACCGGGCCAAGTCCTGGCTCGGCTTTTAATTATCCTCGCGGCAATTACGCGCGGAAAATTTGTTGGCTGTGATGTGCGCGCGATAAGGCCACAATGGACTCCGGACTCCGGACTCCAGACTACCCCGTTACCCGTAACCCCACTTCCGCCTTCGGCAAATAGAGACAAAAGCCAGGCAAACAACAAAGGGAAACTTTTTGTTTCACTTCGTGACGGAGACGAGGGTTCTGCCGTGGGTCCTGGTCCTGCTGCAACTGACAGTAGTTAACAATGCTGTTGGCATCGCTGAGTGGTTTCCTACTGTCTTACACTTACACCTTCGTGTTGGCTGTTCTCTCCGCTTTTTTGTCGACGGCAAAGGCAAATAAAACTAAATGCAAATTGCCTCCTACGAAGACACCGCAGCGACACGACGCGCACCACGAAATGGGAGACGAACAAATCACAGTCGAGCCCCTCCCCCCCAAAAAAAAGCCCCAAACAAATGCCAGACAAACCGCAACAAATCCACCAAATTATGTTAAAACCTTGGCAGCAAACAATGAAGATGGAGAAGGCGAAGAAGAGAAGTCTAGCACCAACAAATTTGTGGCCTAGTCCCGCCAAAGGGGGGAGAGGGCACAGGCCAAGGGATGGATGTGTCTGTCTTTTACACTCTGGCACTCTGTGGTAGGACAACGCAAGAAGTGTCTGATTCGTTGGCCCGTTTTGATTAACATAAAGCGAATAATAGACATCGACTGCCAGCAACAGCAACAGCAACGTGAACAGATTTGATTTCACGATTTTGCACTATTTAGCCAGAGAAGACGAATCCCCAGCTGAACTCAGCTAAGCTCCAACACCTGCATCGGAATGAGCCACAGCAACGAGATACTTTTGTGTAATTTCGACAAGCGAAGATGCATTTTTGGTGCGCTTCGAACTGCTGTCAAAAGATGTGTTGCAACATTGCACATCTCAATTTCAATTTCGATTTAAATTTCAATTTCAAATGAGCTCTTGTTAAGCCAATGCATCGACTGTATGCTTCGAGGAAAACCTTTCAACCAAATGATTTGACCCTGTTGAAATGTTCGCACGCAAATAAATGCCGTAATGCTGCAGTGCAGATAGGACGGAGCAATGAATAATAAAGATTGAAATAACTTTTGAGACTTTTCAGATGACCTGGAAAAGTCCTCCCAGTCCATATAGATGTGTCTTTCTTGGGGGGATGGGACAATTGGCAGGCCAAGAGCAATTTATGACACACAAGAAGCGCCACGACTTTGTTGACAAATTTCCAGAAAACACGAAGCCTGGGGGAATGAATTATGTCGCCGTGATCGACGGGAAAATGAAGCCAGAATCATTGCAACGTAAAAGGTGAGATGCGGGGGCGTGCCATAAGCCAAGATCCAAGAGGCACGACATGTGAGACAATTTCGAATCGTGCTCTTGGTGTCCCCGGAGAGTGCTGCCGCCATTAGTTGCCCTCCTCCGCCCGTCCTCGAGTCTCTCCCAGTCATCCAGTAAGCCACTCGAGCCGCTGCTTATAATTTGCTGCAAAATTATTAAACGATCTGTCCCAGCCAGCGAAGGTCAGCGAAGAGGAAAATACGCAGGCCGTCCGCCGACCGCCGACCACAAGAGGCAAGCGGTCCACATAACTTTCTCCGCAAGACGGATGCGAGGGTGTTGTCAGATGCCATGAAGGATCAGTGAAGTTAAGCCTACGTCGACCATAAAACGTCATGCCAGGCCAACAAAATGCCGCATATACGCTGAATGGCACTGACATCAAGTAAGGAGCATACCGACGACCTTATACCCTGACAAAGACAAGTCTGAGTTAATTTGTTGGGCCACTGATTCGGAATTATTATGTTTATATATGTGTATTATCGCCACTGAATTTGATAACATTATTATTTCTACTTATCAAGCTATATTGATTGAAAGATAATTCGTATACAAATACTTTATGACAGAGTATATAATTAATCCAACAACTTCAGCTTAAAAATTCTACAGCTGCAGCTGACTGGGTTTCTGGAATTGGGGCCTCTGGTTCCGAATTGCCATGTTTTCTCCCTCTGGTTTTTGCATTTTTTTTGTGCCTTGTTTTTGCTCACATTTCGGGTGCCTTGCCCACGAGTCGAAAGGTCAGGAATTTATGGATTTTTCACTGCTGCAGAGACATTCGCAGATGCCCGTAACTTCAGCAGTTTGACAACGCGTCACCTTGACCCCTTTGAATGTTCATACACGTACTCGCAGAAGCTCAGCAGCGCGATTATCACTGTGTAAACTCTACATTTCCCTCGGTGCAATTGTCTTCAGTTAATTAATATTACCTGTTGGCGATGGGAATGCGATAAGAGCCTTGATTTCATTACCAAAGCAAATAGGAGCAGAGGCAAACAGAGCTGCTTCCGACGGCGAGCTATGCGGCTGGTCGCTCAGTTCTTGCTTAGGGTCCGCGGAATGTTGGCTCACTTCAGTCCGAGCATTTCCCTGGAACTGTTCGAGCTGTACGGCCGGGTGCTGCAGTTCCTGGTGGCCGGAGAGACCACCGTCTTCTACTACAATCCAAGCGGTCTCAACTGCAGCTGGCACTGGCTCTGGCAGCGGAACCTCACCACCAATCCGCAGATTGTCTGGCAGAGGGATGAGCCCGCAGTGGATCTAATTAAACAGTTCAACAGCAATCTCTTTGTCCTGGCCTGCTTGTCGATGGAGTTCAACGAGTGGGAGCTCCTGGGCCTGGCCTCGAGTCTGAGCCACCTCCGAGGGGTGCGTGTGCTGATCGAGGTGGCGGGCACTGGCAGCCCCAGCGAGGAGCTTCTGGCATCCAAGATCCTGTCGAATTGCCTCAAGAATAGCATGTTGAATGCGATGCTGTATTTCCAGCAATGGAGTCGCCTTTTAGTCATCTACAGCTTTTCGCGCCTTTCCCCACTTTGATCTCATCAAGCAGAAAATTCTCCCCCAGGGCCCAACCGGACTCCAGATGTTTGTGGACCAGCTGGCCGATATCCGAGGCTTGGAGATTGTAGCCATTCCGGACTTATCGCCACCAAATTCTTTTCAATACACGGATGTTAATGGACAAAAGCGAGTGGCTGGCTACCTGTGGACGTTCATTGCAGAATTTGCGAGCAGCTTGGGGGGCAGGCTGAAGGCGTCGTACCCCACATGGAGTTCGGGCAGGACACCTGCTAGCCGGTACATGCAGGAGCTGACCAGGAATGCCAGCGTGGACTTTGGACTCACGACCACCATGGTTACGGAAAAGGAGCTCAAGTCCATCTATCAGTACTCCTATCCCATACTCTACTCGAGCTGGTGCACTATGCTGCCCATGGAGCGGCCCATACCCGTGTTCTCGCTATTCCATCGGATTCTGAGCTACGAGGCCGTGATTTTGGTGCTAACAGCCAGCCTGGTTCTTGGCCTGCTGGTTCCGGGGCTACTCAAATATCTGGACATCAACTTTCGCTGGAGATTGTTGCACCTGACGCCACGGCTGCTGGCGCTCGTCCTCGTCTGCGCATGCGCGGCTCAATTGCTCTCCCTGCTGATCTCGCGACCGACCTCGACACGGATCGATAGCTTTGATGATCTGCTGCGGTCGGGTCTGAGGATTTTTGGTATGCGCAGCGAGTTCTATTTCCTCGAGGGTGATTTTCGGGCCAAGTACGCGGCGGCATTCCATTTGACCAACGATCCCACCGAACTCTACGACAATCGAAACTATTTCAACACCAGCTGGGCCTACACCATCACCACCGTGAAGTGGGCTGTCATCGACGCCCAGCAGCGGCACTTCACTCGGCCCGTCTTTCGCCTCTCCCGCGACATGTGCTTCAATGGGTTCATGCCGAGCTGCCTGCTCATCCCGCCCGAGTCTGTGTACAGGGACCGGCTGCAGCACTTCACCTTGCGAATGGATCAGTCGGGCCTGATTGCGTACTGGATCCGGATGAGCTTCTACGACATGGTCAAGGCCGGACGCATGACCATCAAGGACTACAGTCAAACGCAGCAACTGCCTGCTCTCAACCTGAATGACATTCAGCTGGCCTGGCACCTGAGTCTCCTGGGAGTGATTATTTCCCTCGTCGTATTTGGCCTAGAACTGCTGCGATTCTACACGCCCGTCTTTCTGAACAGCCTATAGGGCACCCCCTATAAAGCACTTTGCTTTGTTATTTTCGCTGTACTCGCATATAAAAATAAATGCAAATTGCTTACCAGGAAGACACCGCAGCAACACGACGAGCGAGCGCCACGAAATCAGACTCCCAATGCGAAATCAGAAAGATACAAACCACAAGAAATCCACCAAATTATGTAAAGCCTTGCCAGCAAACATCAACAATTTTGTGGCCTAGTCCCGCCAAGGGGGGGAGAGGGTGTCTGTCTTTTACACTCTGGCACTCTGTGGTAGGACAACGCAAGAAGTGTCTGATTCGCTGGCCCGTTTTGATTAACATAAAGCGAATAATAGACATCGACTGCCAGCAACAGCAACAGCAACGTGAACAGATTTGATTTCACGATTTTGCACTATTTAGCCAGAGAAGACGAATCCCCAGCTGAGCTGAGCTCCAACACCTGCATCGGAAAGAGCCACGGCAACGAGATACTTTTGTGTAATTTTGACAAGCGAAGATGCAGCTTCAAAGCTGTCAAAGATGTGGCGCAATATGGCACATCTTGAATTGGAATCCACAAGTTTATTACGTACAGTTGTACAAGTGTTGTGGAATAGTTTCGGAAATGTTTCTGTTATGAATTTAATATAATAATATATAATATTATAGCCTGTTTACACTACTGTTGAGTTATTGAGTTTTTGCGTTTTGGGAAAAACTTAGTTTTTTTTTACATAGGTTTAGCATAGGAGCCTAGTGGTGGCAAAAAGTTTAGTTATGGTTGCGTTTTAGTTGTTCAACCCTGTTCGCCCGTCCTGTGAACTATCACCACTAGAAACAACAAAACACCATGTTGTTTAAATAGAAAAATATAGGAAAAATGTAAATTCGAATATATTACTTAAAAATTAATACTTTTAGCCAATTTTATCATTAGAAGCGAGAATTTTGGAGACCTATTTGCCTTTACAGGAGCTTCTAGACCTCTGGAAGGAAAAAAATAATGGTTTTCGTGGTGTAAGGAAGAACTCTCACATACATGAATGAAAATCATTAAATATAAATGAATTTGAATAGTTGAATTTGTTATTCATTCAGAACTATTCATGAAGTGTAGCCCGCATCTTTTCTGTCCAAATTAATAATTTGGTTGATGTATAAAATGTTTTTCAAAAACACGTAGATCGTGCTGTTGTCAAAACTCATAGCTCAATAGCTCGATTTTGTGCCAGTGTAAATAGGCTATAATTTTAATTTAATATCAATAATAAAATGTGAGTGACCATTTTCTGGATTTTAGTATTTAAGAAAAAAAGTTAAGTTGGCAGCCCCGATAAACGCGAGTCTATTGAAAAAATAATATAAGTGAAGACGTAAGTACAATAAATACCATTTAAATACACGTGTATTATTGTGTTTTGACTACCAAGAGGCATGTCTAGAAATTGGTCGATCAAGCCGGATCATCATATATTCTACAGGTATGACACAACAGTTTCTGAACAGTTCGAAAGGATTTGTTATCATTTTGATTCTTTTTGTGCAATGTATGCCATTGGAACCATCTTATCTATACACATTTGATTGTGTATGTAGTTTCTTAATGCTGCCATTGAGTTCTGGGCATTGGCATTGTGCAGTGATTTATTTGATTTATTTCGAAATTCCGCGGCAGAAAGGGAAAACATTCTGCCTTTACCTTGGGACCGTCTTATGAGTCATTTATGCAGACCACCATTGGTGTCGGACTTCCACTGTGGCTGCGAGTGCGAGAGTGCGACTGCGACTGTGGCTGTGGCTCTGGCTGTCCAGGTGTTCAATTAAGTACTGACGTTGACCTTAATACGCAGGCTGCTGAAAACGGATTGAAAAAGTGCCAGAATTTCTGACAAATTGTCGCCGAATGTGCGCCGAAATCAAGTTTATGGTCAGCCGCGTAAATAGTGGCAGCAGCAGCAGCATAAGCAGCGGCATCAGTGGCAAAGATGTCAACGAATTCTGTACGGTTATCGGAGCCATCGCTTAGAAAGTTGGTGACTAGCGGTCTGGCATTAAAATGCCAGAGGAAATCGTCAAGCGGGATAGCCGATTGCCGAGTGCCGACTGCCGATTCCAAGGTGTTAAAATATGCATTAAAATTGCTGATGAAGCGGCTTGTTCGCTGGCAGGATTACCAAATATTTGCGGCTGCGGCTGCCGCTGCCAAAAGTCAAAAGAAATCAATCAAAATGCCACAATCAACAACAACCGCCGCAAGGCGCCAAAAGGCAACAAAAGGCCGCAGCGAAACCCACACCAACACCAACAACAGACAGAAGCGACAGCCTGACGTGTGCCTAAGACGCTTAGTGGCTGCTGCAAGTCGAGATCAGCACCAACTCCAACTCCAGCTTCAGCTGCAGCTCCAGCAACATCCAACGGCAGACAAGAGACGGCCCCGTGTCTCTAAGTGGACAACAAAACGCCTCCAACACTTTTGGGGCGCGAAAAATGTGTTTGCCATGCAGTTTCTCTCTGGCCAGGCCAAGTGTTTGCCTCCAACTGAATGCCTAATGCCGCAGTTTCTGTGCTGCAGTGTGGCAGATGCAGTGGATGCTGCACTTGCAGTTGCAGTTGCAGGGGCGAGCTCTACGGGTGATATGTATGTATAGGTGTGTATGTGTCGGGCTGTACATATAAATAAAATAAATAAGCCAACGTTGATCTTCATTTGTTGTTGTCGAGAAGTTGACATGACGACTCTGCCTCGGCATTGGCATCGTCATCATTTCCATGCCCCATCATGCCCCAAGCCCAAGCCTGACATATATTTGCATAGTTTTGTCGAGAACAAAATGGCTAAGGCATCAGCAGCCAGGCAGTCAGGCCCCTCTCCAAACAAAAAGAAATTCGTTGACAAGTGTCTGTCAGGGACGACATCGTGCCGCGCAAATTTGCATGTGGTCGCATCTCACGCTTCAGACCCAGTCGCCGCATCCCATCCCATCCCATCCTGAAAACCCCCCAAAACAAACCGAAAAAAGGCAGAGATTCGTCTTGGCTTATATATTGTGGTGAAATTTGTGTTGCTTTCTGTTGTGTCTTTAATACTCTCGCAAAGGAGTCTAACGCATTTGAGGGGACGTACAGAAGGGAGGGAAATACTCTTCCTTAATCCCTAATCCTGTTTGGATTTACAGTCTACTGGGATGATCTCTCATCTTCCATACGAGCGGTGGATCCATCTCCAAGGGTATCTACAGTTACGGCTCTTGCAGCTACCCTTCTTTTCTTGTTTCTTGTTTCTTTTGATGTGGCTGGTTTTTTTGTGTCGATCTTGAGCGCACCTTTATGGTCTATTATACTAACGGGAATGCCCCGAGAGCAACGACAATAATAAGCAAATTGATTGAAATATGCGATATCATGGTAACCGCAGCTCCAAACGGAAACGCTGTCGCTCCCTCCCTTCTCACCCTCCAGCAACCCCTGCCAGCCCCACTCCCGCCGCCCCAGACAATTTTTGTGGTAGCGCATTAAATGTCGATTTCGTTTTGCACCCGCGGCGCAGATACGCAGCCGGCGATACACGAAGTACGCGGCCAGCCTGGCTCCCACATCCATTTCCACATCCACATCCACTTCAAGCCAAGTTTATGGCGCTCGCCGGGTCACTGCCAATGCTACGCAGAAGGGGTGCGGCCCCAAAAAATCCAACCACTGACGCCCACCCAACTGGCCCAGTGGGCAATCTCCGGTTTGGCGGCGGTGGGTACGGTTCCCGCCGAGTGCTGACTGCTGAAACCCAATGCGCCGATCCCGTTGCCGTTGCCGATGCCAATGCCGATGCTGATGCTATGCTAATGTGCCTTAAATAAATCATTAGCGCATTGTTTGGGGCAAAACTACGAGTATCCAGCGGACCAGGGCTGTCCGCTCTCTGCTCTCTGGCTAACCAACATCCAGAGGATTGTGGCGAATATTAAAAGCGTGCTGACTCGAAGTGGATCTGAAGTGTGGTCAAGGATGTTAAGCCTTAATGGCACCCAGAGGTGTCAGTTCTGGGAGGATCCAACGAAAGTGCCAAATGCACTGGAGCTACAAATTTGACTGCAGATTCGTTGACGTTGATACGCTCGCAGACACGCATTCGGCTATGTTTGAACCACTTGTAAGGGGCCAAGAAGTTAACCGAACCAAATTGCCGTTGCCACTTGGCGACATGTTCGTAATTAGCATGAGGCGAGTGTGGCAAGATTCAGTCTGGGCTAGGCATGTCTTTAGCTCCAACTTTAACTGAGTGCCACACCTGCAGCAGTCGCAGTCGCAGGCCCAGCCTCATCTCAATTGATCCCATAAAACGCTGCTTAACACGTTGTTGGCTGAAATGTAAAACCCAGCCGTTATGATAACTCTTTGGCTCGAGTGTTTGGGTGTCAGCCGATTTTTATTGACTTTTCATTGATTGCCGACAAGCAGCAGTTGCAGCAGCAGCATCAGAAAACACACAGAATTCTTTTTGAGTTTGCCGTCTGTTTTCGGGCGCTCGCGTAATTAAAAGGCTATAAAAAGTGGCAAAATGTGCTAACCAGTTTGGGCTGCTGCCGAGATTTTTAATAGATTTTTTTCGCATTTGTTCCCTTGCCCCAATGTGTTACAATTCACAACTTTTTTGTGTTGTTGTGCTATGATGCAATGCACATTAATTTTTCCTTTTTTTGTTACCATTCCGCATTGGAGTCCGGCCTGATAGATACTTTCTAGCCACCACATGCAAATCTATGGTTGGCCTAAAGAGACCAAGGCGGCGGGGAAGGGCGGAGGGAGTCAAGCAACTGTTGCTGGCCATAAATAGGCAATTTGGCGCTTTGGCCGTTTAACGCCAACATCAACATCAGCATCATCGGGTTGCGGGCTGCGAGCTCCGTGGCAGCCTCGCAACGAATCGAATCGAATCGATTATCATGCACTTAACACCAACAGCTCTTTAACCCGAGAGCCGAAACGAGCCAAACGGCTCTTACCCTTAAAGGTTTTTGTGCAACAATTTTTTGGGAAAATGTTTTCAATCAGAAACTAGGCGGTAACTGCAGCCAGATCCCGGTCCAGAGCCTTCCGATGATTGCTCTGCTCTCCACACCAAGCATGATCGAATCATCGTCGTCGGGCAGAAGAGCGGTGTACCATGAGGCGCAATCAAGGCCAGCACTCAGTCGGAGCAACAGCAACAGCAGCAGCATCATTATCAGCCTCGGCTGAGGCTTCGTGCTGATTATCAGCATGTGCACTGGCTGCTGCTCAATGCCGATGCCCGCTGCTTCTGATGACGATGCCGATGACGACGAAGTCGCCGCATGTGCTTTTGCCCTCGATCCATAGATCAAGATCATAAATAGCAATAAGCCAGCCAGACAATGTCTGCTAACTGTTTCAGGCAATCAATCAATCCATCT